ATGAGTTTAAGCCACCAGGTCTGGGACTTGAACTGCAGAAGAGTACGTGTGAGTCCAGCGACATAGCCATTACACCAACTGCTGAGTTAGAGTCAGCCCAGCAGGTGGTGTGGTGGTTAAGGTGACTAGATCCCACATGGCCGACTGTGCAGTTCGAATCCTGGACCCAGTGACAACGCTCCAGGGGTGTGTGTGCATAAACCCCAAGAGAAGAGTGGAGGGACGGGGCTGTGGCATGGTCATCCCTCCTGGGGGTAACTCTCTCTCTCTCTGTCGAGCAACCCTATAGTAAAAACAAACAAACAAACAAACAAAACAAAACAAAACAAAACAATGGCTGGAGGCCACATGGGTACGTGAGGCTGTACAATGGTTTTAGGGACCATGGTGCCTACCGGGTTAAGCTTGCCCTTAGCCCTCGGGCCATGGAAGGACCTCTGCAGTGCTTTGGGGGAGTCCCCTGAGCTGCTCCCTACTGGTGCTTGTGACACCCCTGCCTTGGTGACCGCTGGCTCCCCTGGTTTCCAGGGTGGCCTCACCTACTTCTGCTGGCCTGCCGCATCACCATGGTAACACTCCTGCCCGCTGACTTCACTCTAGGCCCACCCTGGCTGACCAGCTTCCTCCGGCAGGGTTTGGTTCCTCTTTACATGAACTGGGGGTGGGGTGGGGCTGGTCCCCCATGTTCTCAGTGCCCTCACAGACGCCCTGCCTGGCCCGCCTTCTCACCTCTGTTCCTGGCAATGCTCACTGTATGCAGAGCAGTTTTGAGATCAGAACCCCCAGAGCACTGCACCCCACACTCTCCTGCTCACCCCACTTTTGAGATACACTAGAAGACACTTGTCAGGTACAGACGGGAGGGTGGACCGCGAGGGTCACTGCAGTGTTGTTGGAAATGCACAGCAACACCCAGACCTCCGCCAGCCGCCAGCCGGGCGGGTTATGGTGCGTTCCGACAGGTGGGGCCGGGTGGGGCGGCTTGAAAAAAGAAAGCAGGAAACACATTCACACTTGCAACCGCGAGGGTCACTGCAGTGTTGTTGGAAATACACAGCAACACCCAGACCTCCGCCAGCCGGGCAGGTTATGGTGCGTTCGACAGGTGGGGCCGGGCGGGGCAGCTTGAAAAAAGAAAGCAGGAAACACACTCACACTTGCGCAGTTTCTCTGGAAGGCACCAGAGGCAGGGGTGATGAGCCATGGGGCAGAGGGAACCCGTACTGGGGTGTAAGGGGGAAGCCCATAATCTGGAAGGGCTTGCCCATACTTTACCGATTCCAAAGAACACACTCGGTGGCCCAGCAGGGACAGGAAGCCCCGAAGAGGGCAGGCCGAGCTTGGTCTGCCGTGAGCACGGCTCAGGTTACGTTAAGAACAAAGCATTGGGGGCCAGCAGATGGCATAGTGGTTTCGTCGCTGGACTTCTACATGGCTGACCATGGTTTGAGTCCCGGACTGGTGGCTTGAAACTCATGCCAGGCATGTGCGTGCGTACCCAAGATCCCAGAAGGAGAACAGAAGAAAAGGGATTGTGGCGTGGTCATCCTCCTCGGGGGTGACTTCTCACTGTCTCTGTCTCTTTCTCTCCAGTGAGCACACACACCCCCTAAGGCAAAAAATCTCCTCTCCAAAAAATAAAATAAATAAAAAGATAAAAATGAAGCGTTCACAAATCAATTAAAGATGGATGCAGCCCCCTCACTCAGACAGCGTCTGGTTCAGACACGCCTTGCCTGTAGGGTACAGTCCAGCTGAGCTTGTGGGTGCACACAATCAGTGGAGTGTGGGGGTTCAGTGCCCCTGTGGGAGGGGTGTGCATGCATCTGGGGTGGCCCAGCTGTGGGCCAGCTCCATGGGGTGATGGTCATGGGAAGCTCAGGGTACCCAGTTGGCCGTCTCAGGAGACAGGGCAAACTGGGAGGGAGGAGAGCTCAGTGCACGGCGTCTACGCTCCCGGGGGAAGCGGCGCAGTGGAACCTGCTTTCTGAGCTTCATCCTGAGTACATCGGCACTTCTAAAATACTGATAGAGACAAAGAAATACTTGGGAATCAAGACAGAACTGTGGAGATAGATGGGGCCCAGGGGGTCGCTCCCTGGCTGTACTGATCAGAGCATTAGCCATTACAGGTGTATGATCTGGGGGTGGGAAACACGTTCAGTCCACAACAATCCTTCCGTGGTTCTAACTCAGATCGGAGGAGTTCGTTGTCACGCAGTTGTGAAGCCAAGGGAGTGACTGAGTTGGCTCTTCAGAGTCCTCATTTGGTCAGTCTCAAGAGGCGTGGTCTAACCCATAGTAAGGGGGCGTGGCTCGGGGCTAGCAGGTGGCATGGTGCTGGCTTCCCACATGGCCGACCACGGTTCAAGTCCCGGACCTGGTGGCTTGCTCTCTCACTTGCCCTTTCTCTCTCCCTCTCTGTCTGTCTGGTCAAATTAAAGAAAAAAAATAATAATAACAATGAAATTAAATAAATAATACTTTAAAGTGAATAAAAAAGAACACTATTTTTAAAAGAGGGTGTGGCACAAAGCAGCTGACTTCCTTCACGTAGCCCCTGCCATCTGCGAATTTCTCTATAAATGACCTCGTTTGGCATGTTCCCTGTAGTCTAAACTTCCATGGTATTTTCCTCGGTGGGCCCCAAAGGGCAGGCGACATTATGCCTTGATAAGACATGGCCCTTCCGCTTACATAGGTGAGCCCCACTCAGCCAGGTCAGGGGAGGGTTTCTTTTCATTTCTTTCTTTCTTTCTTTCTTTCTTTTTTTTTTTTTTGTTTGAGAAGTTTTTGATATAGGGTACGTGCACTCGCCAGAAAGACAGAGAGAGACAGAGAGAGACAGAAAGCAGAGAGAGAGAGAGACAGAAAGCAAGAAATCACCTCCCAGGGGGGATGGCCATGCCACAATCCCTTCTTCTCTATTCTCCTCTCGGGATCTTGGGCACACACGCACACACGTGTGAGTTTAAGCCACTGTATCCGGGACTTGAACAGCAATCAACTACATGGGAGTCCAGCGACATAGCCATTACGCCAACTGCTGATTCCCAGGGGAGGGTCTCAAACTGTCACCAGGCCCACAGTGCTCTCCCACCCTGCAATGAATCACGGGGCGGCTTTTCATACACACTGCACTTCACACGCAAAGAAGTTGCTTCATAATGGGACATGCCCTACAGATGCAGTTTATTCAGTAAATGTGAATATTAGCGCAGTTTCCTTAGTCCGTCATGAAACCGCCCTCGAGAGTGTCTCTACCAGCGAGATATACGCCGTCTTTTTATTTCGCATCCAGGAGGGTTTCCGTCAGGTCGTCTCAGAGGCGGACTCAGTTCTCTGCGCAGTGAGACCTGTCACTGAGATCTGAACGGTCACTCCCGTTCAAAGACTCCCTTTCCATTAAGAAGTCATCTTTGATTAAAACCGAGAGCACAGATATACTCCTTTGTATCTGCAAGTCTTATATGGCGCGAACTTACCTTTCAGTAAATGCGAATTTAAAGCTAGGCAGAGATTTCACTAAATTATCATAATACCAGGCCCAGCCTCTGTGACACAGTCAGCATGCTGAACAGCTTTGCTGGGGGACACATAGCCACCACAGGTTCGGATCCCAAGCCTGGTGGAAACAGGCCTGTGTGTGGGCGCCCACGATTCTGAGGGGCTAGAGTGCTGGAGAGAGGGGAACATGGTCTGGCCAGACTTCGTGGGGGGGCGGGGTGCCTCTCTCTTTCCTTCATGCACATTCTTTATTATGAATTTAAAATAAATAAATGAAAACTTCTTAAAAAATCGCAATACCCCGTGGGAGCTACCCTGTAAGATCACGTAATTGGGCTTGGGACGTGGCCCTCGACACGACAAAGGTCCCCAGGCCCTTTGCTAAGCGCGGCAGTGTCTGGGCAAGGCCGACTGTGCGCGTCTGCAGAGTTGACCCCTGGGCTCCGCCTCCGCGGTCCAGGTGCTCCCAGCTACGCTCCGTTTATGTCAGGTCCCTGCTCAGTGTCTGGCTGACCTGGAAGGCCAGGGACAGGACGGGGTTTATTGCTTACCGAATCTCGCATCTGTCTAGGAACCACTGAAAACATAACATGCCCGCTTGGTCTCCATGGCGATCTCAGTTCCGTGCTTGCTCCCACAGGGGATTACGAGGACTCCGATCCGGCAGGAGAGTCACCCACAGTCATCAGTGGAGACGCTCT